AAATTTCTAAACTCCTAATTTTAAAAATTTTAAGTAAGATAAAATACACATATATAATTTACCATCTGTACAATTTTTAAGTGTTCAGTTTAATAGTGGTAATAAATACATTTATATTCTTGGTTTTTTTTTTTCCTTTATCTTCTCCTTCCCATTCCCTTTCTCGGCCTCCGGTAACCTCTAATCTACTCTGTCTTCATGGGATCCACTTTTTTAGCACCTGCATGAGAACCTATAATATTTGTCTTTCGGTCCCTGGTTTATTTCACTTAACAAAATGACCTCCAGTTCCATATATGTTGCTGCAAATGACAGGATTTCATTCTTTTTCATGGCTGAATAGTACTCCATTGTGTATATATATGCCACATTCTCTTTATCCACTCATCTGTTGATAGACATTTAGGTTAATTCCTTATCTTGGCTATTGTGAATACTATCGCAATAGACACCGGAGTGCAGATATCTCTTTGATATACTGATTTTTTTTTCTTTTGGATATATACCAAGTGGTAGAATTGCTGGATCACATGGAAGTTCTAGTTCTACTTTTAGTTTTTGAGGACCCTCCATACTGTTCTCCATAGTGGCTGTACTATTTACATGTCAACCAACAATATATGACGGTTTCCTTTCTCCACATCCTCTCAGCATCTGTTATTGCCTGTTTTTTTTTTTTTAATACAAGCCATTTTAACTGGGGCAAGTGGGTTTTACATTGTGGTTTTGCTTTGCATTTCTCTGATGATTAGTGATGTTGCACATTTTTTCATGTACCTCCTGGCCATTTGTATGTCTTCTTTTGAGAAACGTCCATTCAGATCTTTTATCCATTTTAAATCAATTTTTTTTTTCTATTGAGTTGTCTGTTCAGGTCTCATGCCCATTTTAAAACCACATCACTAAATTTTTCCTAGACAGTTGTTTGAGGTCCTTATAGATTCTGGTTATTAATTGCTTGTCAGATAGATAGGTTGCAAATATTTTCACCCATTCTTTGGGTAGTCTATTCCCTTTGTGGATTGTTTTCTTTGCTGTGTAGAGGCTTTTCAGCTTGATATAATCCCAATTGCCTATATTTGCTTTGATAGACTATGCTTTTCCAGGTCTTACATAAGAAATCTTTCCTGGTCAGGGACAGTGGCTCATGCTAGTAATCTCAGCACTTTGGGAGGCTGAGACGGGAGGATCCCTTGAGTTCAGGAGTTCGAGATCAGTCTGGGCAAGATGGTGAGACTCCATCTCTACAAAAATTTAAAAATTAGTGGAATGTGGTGGCATGCACCTGCGGTTCTAGCATGGGAAGCCAAGGTGGGAGAATTGCTTAATCCTGGGAAGTCAAGGCCACAGTGAGCCAGGTTCATGCCACTACACTCCAGCCTGAGTGACAGAATGAGATCTTTGCTCAGACCAATGTCCTGAAGCATTTCCTCAACGTTTTCTTCAAGTAATTTCACAGTTTCAGGTCTAAGATTCAAGTCATTAATATACTTTCATTTCTGCGTATGGCAAGAGAAGGGAATCTAGTTTCATTTTTCTGCATATAATTATCCAATTTTCCCAGCACCATTTATTGAAAAGACTGTCTTCCCCATTATAGTTCTTGGCACCTTTGTCAAAGATGAGTTGGTTGTAAATATGTGGAAAATATGTGGACTTAGGTATCTGGGTTCTCTATTCTGTCCCATTGGTCTACTGTGTCTGTTTTTATATCAGGACTAGGCTGTTTTGGTTATTATAGTTTTATAATAAATTTTGAAGTAAGGTAGTGTGGTGATTCTAACTTTGTTCTTTTTGCTGAAATTGCTTTGGCTATTTGGGGTCTTTTGTAGTTCCATATACATTTTAGGACTGTTTTTTCTATTTCTGTGAAGAAAGTCATCAGTATTTTAATAGGGATCTGTAAATTGCTTTCGGTGGTATTGTCATTTTAACAAAATTAATTCTTCCAATCCATGAACATGGAATATCTTCCCACTTTTGTGGGTTTTCTTCAATTTTTTAAATCACAGTTTTACAGTTTTCCTTGTATAGATCTCTCATGTCTTTGGTTAGATTGATTCCTAGGTATTTCATACCTTTTGTAGCTATTATAAATGGGATTGCTTTCTTGATTTCTTTTTCAGATTGTTCACTGTTAGCCTACATAAATTCTACTGATTTTTGCATGTTGATTTTATATCCTGCAACTTTACTGAATTCACTTATCAGTTCTCCAAGTTTTTTGGGGGAGTCTAGGTTTTTCTAGGTGTAAGATAATGTCATCTGCTAAGAAGGCTAATTTAACTTCTTCTTTTCTAATTTGGATGCCCTTTATTTATTTTTCCTGCCTATTTGCCCTGGCCTCTAAACTCCTATTTTGGAAAAGGGCTTTCATGTAATCTAGCCAATTATGTATTTTTTGTTCTATTTATGTTCTTTATTTGAGCAAAACTGTAATAATTTATTATTTTCAGATTTACTCAGGCAACCTTACAAAAATTAAAATGCCTAAGCCATCCAAGCAGAAATTTTTATTAGCTACTCTTCAGATTACTTTTCATTGTTGCTGCGTACAAAGGTAGAAAACAACTCTGACTAAATTTTATTTCTTCCAATATTAAGATATTCCTTTACTTAGCTGACAGAAAATCCTCACAGAAAACCTTTGCTGGAGAGCAGAAGTATGGCAGCTCATTGATTAAAAAACCACAATCAAGGCCAGGTGCAGTGGCTCATGCCTATAATCTCAGCACTTTGGGAGGCCAAGGTGGGCAAATCACTTGAGGCTAGGGGTTTGAGACCAGCCTGGCCAACATGGCAAAACCTCGACTCTACTAAAAATACAAAATTTAGCCAGGCATGGTGGTGCACACCTGTAATCCCAGCTACATGGGAGGCTGAGGCATGAGAATCACCTGAACCTAGGAGGGAGGGGCTGCAGTGAGCTGAGATTGTGTAAGATTCTGTCTCAAAAAAAAAAAACAAAACAAACAGAAACAAAAACACACAATCATTCTTTCTTTTTAATACTGTAAACTTGATGGAAAACTTGCTGAGTAAGTCTCTTTTAAAACTGCCTTTTAAGCGCTCTTTTACATTTTTATTTTTATTTTATTTCCATTTTTTTAGGGGAAGTTTCTTACTATGTTGCCTAGGCCAGTCTTGAACACCTGGCCTCAAGTGATCCTCCAACCTCGGCCTCCCAAAGTGTTGGGATTATAGGTGTGAGCCACTGCGCCCAGCCAGAAATGCCATTTTTATCACTACCCAAGGACCTCTGTTGCTCTCTGGAGGTCTGTTGCATTCTCAACCACCTTTAAGTTTCACTTAGTTTCATGACTCAATGCCATCTGACATCACTCAAATGACCAAACTTTCTTTTACTTTTCAATGTAAGTCTCAGGCCCTCTTAGATATTTTTATTAATTGACAAGGATAGTAACTGGGTTCAACAAAATCCTCTAACTGGTGAAATGCTTGCAAATTACAGAATAATCTCTTTTCCAAGTAGCCCAGTGTTATCTGGTATTTAGCATGCCTGCTTAACTGCCTGATGAGACATTACTGTAGGTTGTTGCTCAGACAAAAAATAGGCAAAACAAAGTTAGCAGTATGAAAAAATAGACATGTATACCCTTTGATCCCAGAGATTTATCCTTAGGAAATAATCGAGGATGTACTGTTCATAATAGTGAAAAATAAACATTGCCAACAATGTAAATGTTCAATAATAATTTTTTAAAAACATTATGGTATATCTATATAATGGAATTCAATTAAACTTTATAAATTGTGTTGGAGAAAACTACTTATTGATATAAAAAAGCAAAGCATTTATTAAGTGAAAAAACATGTAAATTATGTACAATATGATCTCATTTTGTTAGGAAAAAATAACTATCTAAAAGTATACTGGCTGGGCACGGTGGCTCATGGCTGTAATCCCAGCACTTTGGGAAGCCGAGGCGGGTGGATCACCTGAGGTCAAGAGTTCAAGACCAGTCTGGCCAATAACGCAAAACCTCATCTCTATTAAAAATACAAAAATTTGCCGGGAATGGTGGCACTGAGACCTGTAATCCCAGCTACTCAGGAGGCTGAGGCAGAAAAATTGCTTGAATCCGGGAGGCGGAGGTTGCAGTGAGCTGAGATCACGCCACTGCACTCCAGCCTGGATGACACAGCGAGACTTTGTCTCAAAAATAAATAAATAAATAAAGTATATAAATGCTTACAAAATATTGAAGGTTAAGACATCAAAAATTGGCAGGGCACAGTGGCTCACGCCTGTAATCCCAACACTTTAGGAGGCCAAGGCAGGTGGATTACCTTAGGTCAGGAGTTCGAGACCTGCCTGGCCAGCGTGATGAAATCCCTTCTCTACTAAAAACACAAAAATTAGCTGGGTGTGGTGGTGCACACCTATAATCCCAGCTACTCGGGAGGCTGAGGCAGGAGAATTGCTTGAACCCGGGAGGCAGAGGTTGCAGTGAGCCAAGATCGTGCCACTAGTACTCCAGCCTGGGCAACAAGAGTGAGACTCCATCTCAAAAATAAAAATACATCAAAAATTAACAGTGATTATATCTCAGTGTTGGAATCACATGCACTGTAATTTTCTTCCTGAAATTTCTTCTACTTTCAAATTTTTTCTTCCTTTTTTTTTTTTTTTTAACAAAAGTTATGTTATACTTCTTAATGAGATTTTTAAATGTTACCAAAATTTACATCTATTTTTTAATGTTGAGTAATGTGGAGTCCTGAACAGTATTTTCTTTCTTTTTTTAAAAGATACATCTTCTTTCCCACTTCTGCTTTGCTCATGCCCACATATTGTGTTGGGAATATCTTCCTTAAATTTAACTTACTGATCTCGAATTGTAATATTTACTCCTCTTCATTGAAATACAATTTAGTTGTAAGCTCTGACAGAAATAAGGTGACAAGAAAAGAGAAGAGAGGAAAAGAAAGAAAATAAAATAAAACAAAAGAAAAAAGAAAAGAAAAGAAACCTTTACCTGGATATCAGTTAATTTGCTCAAGATGCGGCTTGCCAGCTTAGCACCGTTGTCCATAGTCGGAATGTGTATTGTCTACAAAAGAAAGGGAAACGAGATAATTTGAGGGTATTCGTGTATATGGTGATAACAGATAAGACACTGAAGCAATTCTGCTAAATTCTGCTAAATTCTGTACCTAAAATAGTGGCTAAACTTAAAGAACCCTACCTCTTCCAAGATTCTAAGAATCTGTGAGGATGAATGATTGTCTTCTAGATATTAACTCTCTGGCAGGAATGAGAACTCAAAGATAATTTGCCACAATTTAATGCAAGTCATTCTGGGAGCATAAATTAAAGCGAGTCTATGACTTCATAAAAGGGGCTTCTATACCTATCTCTGGCCCAAGCTAAACTTCCAGGGGCCACTACCTCCACAATATTGGATAGCATGAATAAATGTGTGACTGAAAGAGATTTCATGCTTCTAATTTGTATCTGAGTCATGCCTACTCATGCCTTGCTGGCTTGCAGGTTTTGATAGTTTGATTTTAGGAGATAGTCTGTGCTCTCAAACACTTTTCATGTTATACCCTTTAGTATAACAGGATAATTAGATATACTTTTTGGCTGTAAATGCTTCCTAAGTCAGGACCATTAAAATTATGCTAAACTTTATAAACTTCTTATTTCTAGAAGTGAAATAATAATTAAACTTAAAAAAAAAAATCTGGCCTAATGACAACTTCAGTGGATTGATCACATTACCTTGATGCTACCATAGCAAGATATTAAACAGTAGCATTATTATCAATGTAAGTATTGACATAAAACAGAATAATTCTTCTCTCATGAAATAGTCAATCTGTAGATGCAATTATGTCAAGAGCAATCCCTTAAAAGCAAGTTCTAAAACCTCAACAAAAGAAACAGCCACCATTAAAGTCAGAGGAGTTCAGCAAAACTCCAATTAGTTGAGGGAAAATAACTGTAAAGTAAAATCTGAAAACCAGTAGAATTTGCATTTACAGTTGACACTTGAACAACATGGGTTTGAACTACACAAGTTCACTTACACATGGACTTTCTTCTGCCTCTGCCACTCCTAAAACAGCAAGACCAATCCCTCCTCCTCCTCCTCCTCCTCCTCCTCAGCCTACTGACAATGAGGATGAAGATCTTTATGATGATCCACTTCCACATAATGAATAGTAAATATATTTTCCCTTCCCCATGATTTTCTTAACTAACTTTATTGTAAGAATACATATATAACATATATAATACATCAAATATGTGCCAATCGACTGTTTTTGTTATTGATGAGGCTTCTGGTCAACAGTAGGCTACTAGTAGTTAAGTTTTTGGGGAGTCAAAAGTTGTATGTGGGCAGGGCATGGTGACTCACGCCTGTAATGCCAGTACTTTGGGAGGCCAAGGCAGGTGGATCACTTGAACTCAAGAGTTGGAGACCAGCCTGTGCAACATCTTGAAACCCCGTCTCTACAAAAAATACTAAAATTAGCCAGATGTGGTGGTGCACACCTGTGGTCCCAACTACTTGGGAGGCTGAGGTGGTAGGATTGCTTGAGCTTGGGAGGCAGAGGTTGCAGTGAGCCGAGATTGTGCCCTTGCACTCCAGCATGGGTGACAGAGAAAGACCCTGTCTCAAAAAAAACCAAAAAGTTATATGTGGATTTTTCAACTGTATGAGGGTTGACACTCCTAACCCCTGGGCTGTTCAAGGATCCACTGTAATACGAATAACTTAAGCCAGTTCACATTATAAGAATAATACTTACAAGCTTTTAAGTTACAAAGTTAGATGCCAATGTTAATCGTAAGTATTGCAGCTTTGTTATAAAGTGGAAAGCAAAACAATTTGACAAGAAAACAAAAGTATGGCTCATATAAAATCAGACTAATTTACTAAGAGGAGAATATTTCTTCCTACCAAATCCTCAAATTCCTTTTGTAAGATTTTAGTAAATGCACCAGGTTTGCCAATAAATAATTCTTGTAAAGTGGTCTACTTAGTATTAATAACAGCATTAATAATAAAAAATCAAGGAATTGACCATTCAAATGCGCTTTCCATAATTATTTACCATTTCTAATCCAGTAGTTTGGAAGTACTTTTGTTAACCAGAAACTGAATTGTAACTATCTATAGAGCCTTCCTTAGTGCACTGGTAGGAAGAAAAAGAGAAGAGTAGAAGACTTATCGGCATAGCTCCAATCCCAATATTTAGGTAAGACAGATCTTACACGTGTCCAAGGACAAAACTAACTTCCCACCATGTTTGAGCTTACATGAAATCACTGGAAACATAGTAGATACATGCTAATACAGTTTTATCTGGATAAATTGTCCCAGTTACTTTTTTTGTAATGCCAAGTTAAATGACAACAACAAAAAACCCAGCAGAGTGCAGTGGTGCACTCCTGTAATCCCAGCAACAAGAGGCTGAAGCAGAAGGATTGCTTGAGCCCAGGAGTTTGAGGCTGCAGTGAGCTATGATCACACCAGTGAATAGCCACTGCACTCCAGCCTGGGCAACATAGCGAGACTCCATCTCTTTACAATAAAAAAAACAACAATGACAAAACTTTTGCACCTTGCGTCTGGGTCCAAATGCAATTTTATTCATGCACTTAAATTAAATGTAATTTAATGTGACTGGAAATGATAGGAAGTGAGGAAATACTTGTCATACCTCGCCTTTGTACAGTATGTCAGAAACTGGGCAAACAACACAGGCTGTACCAGAGCCAAACATCTCCCTCACTCTGTTCCCCTCCAGGGCGGTTGTCAAGTCATCCATGGTGAGGTATCTCTCCGACACCTTAAATTCACCCTGCACGGAATATAAAAAATAACAAGTATATTTTAAAGGAAAAGGCATGCAAAACAATTGCCAATACTTATGGTTCTGTTTAACATTCTGATTGCACTTAGACAAGGTCATAACCATCCTTCAAGGGAAAGCTGGAAGGGGCACACCATCTTATCAGTGAACACACTGAGGTGTTAAGGAACCTACTTCAAGGTCACAGATTTATATACGAGATTATCAGAATATAAAATATAAAATTATCATCACAAGACACATAGTGTATACTTTAACATATGCCTCCTTTTTTGCCTTCTTATTTTTTAACTTGTATAAAGTCTTACAAAATTGATGCATCCCAAGAGCTGCTTGATGCATGCTCCATGCTAACAGTGTCTTAGGCTGGGCGCGGTGGCTCACGCCTGTAATCTCTGCAGTTTGGGAGGCTGAGGCAAGTGGATTACTTGAGGTCAGGAGTTTGAGATCAGCCTGGCCAACCTGGTGAAACCCTGTCTCTACTAAAAATACAAAAATTAGCCAGGCGTGGTGGCAGGTACCTGTAATCCCAGCTACTCAGGAGGCTAAGGCAGGAGAATCACTTGAACCCAGGAGGCAGAGGTTGCAGTGAACCAAGATCACGCCACTGCACTCTAGCCTGGGTGACAGAGCGAGACTCTGTCTCAAAAACACAAAACAAAATCAGTGTCTTAAACCCTACTTTACCATAAAGGAGAATAATGTATTATGTAATATTAATAATTATAGCTACCATTTATCAAGCACCCGGTATTATGCCAAGTTCTATAATTTTTAAGTACTACCATCCCCATTTTACAGATGAAGAAACTAAGGTTCAAGGAGATTGAAGGGCATCTCCAGGGCCACAAAGGAAGTAAATGACAGAAACTCAATTTGAACCCAGGTCTGACCTGATTGGCTCCAAACATGGTACTCTTTCTACCTTTGTCTTTTTTTTTTTTTTTGAGACGGGGTCTTGCCCTGTCACCCAGGCTGGAATGCAGTGGCATAATCTTGGCTTACTGCAGCCTCGACCTCCCAGGCCCAAGTGATCCTCCTGTCTCAGTCTCCTGAGTAACTGGGACCACAGGTGTGTGCTGCCATGCCCAACTAGCTTTTATTTTTTATATTTTATTTTGTAGAGATGGGGGTCTCCCTATGTTGCCCAGGCTGGGCTCATGCGATCTTCCCACCTCAGCCTCCCAAAGTGCTGAGATTATAGTTGTGAGCCACTGTGCACGGCTTACCTATATCTTTTACGGAATAAAGAACAGACTGAGTTCAAATATCTGAAATACTCATTATTTTTAAACATCGAATGTATATTTGGGAAATATACATTTACTTGAGAAATTGTATTGTGTGTATTTTTTTTCTAATATGACTAATAGTTGACTTTACAGTGACAATTCTCTTTCAGTATCACATTCGGTTGATTTTCATCATGGAATTAGTGGTATAACCTCATTGACTTCTGCCAAAGTGTCTGAATATATTCTTTGCTCAAGGATAGGAAATGGGAAAAAGAAAAATCTTGATTCTTTTAAGCTATCTGTTTAAACTGTCTGTTTAATTCTCATTCTTTTACCTCAGTGGTTCAATTTCACAGTTTGTCAACAAGTTATTTGAATAAAGGGCAACAAAAAATAGAGAGGTTTAAAAAAATAAGATGAGTATTTCTTTTAATTTATAAACCCACAAGAGATAAAAATGGAAATCAAAGCTCTTGGAAATATTCAAAATATTTTGAAAATATTCAAAATATTTGAATATTTAAAAGAAGAACTCATCATGCTGTAAGTAGATTTGGAAGGGCAGAAAAATATGTCTGCAATAGAAATATGGCTCTTTGAAAGTTTCAATTTCTCTCAGTCTACAATTGCAATTATGTTGTTCAAAGGTAAATAAACTGCAGAAAATCAGCCAGATTAATCGAAAACAAGCTGAGTTCTGTGCCCTGAAAAAGAAAAGAAAAGAAAACTCTTTTGTAAATAAGCAGAATTATTTTTACTCTGCTCACCCTTACTTATCTTTGGACAATTTCCCCTATCTAGTAAGCAGTGGTGACCCCTACATGCCTCTTGGCATTTCACGTCTCATGTTTTAAAATAGCTTTTTAAAATAAATTACAGCTATGAAGTCAAGAAAAAATTTCCTCCATAATAACCTATTTTTCATGCTAGCAAATCTTTAGTGTGGGAAAGTATTTCCACTTGCAACTTGTCATCAAACCTTCTGTACTTGGTTGTTATTTTTCTTTAATAAAACAAAAATTACTGAGCTTCAAAAATATCTTTCCAATTGCAAACATATTTAGGACAGGGCAAGCTGTTTGAAATTATACCAACAGTTTGTAAATGCCATGCCCAATGTGCCAGCCAGCATGTAGCAGTTGGGTCTTGTCTACTTCAGGGTTTTGTAGAATTATTTATAGCACATTTCATCTATTTTCAAAGTCTTTTCCAGAGAAACCATGCTAGTATGATCCTAGATAACGTGTGTGTTTCTAAACATTTGTCCTATTACTACTAGTACTCTTTGACCACAGTAAGCTCAAAGTCTTTTCATGTTCTTTGGAGACCATTTTAACACCTGGGTCAAAAGTTCCATCCAAGAACCTTTACCAGACACCCAATTCATTCAATAATTTGTCTTGAATACGTTATGTCATTTCCAAAACCAAATCTTTTTAAATTTTATTTTATTTATTTATTTGTTTTTAGAGACATGGTCTCACCCTGGCATTCAGGCTGTAGTGCAGTAGCTTGATCATAGCTCACTGCGACCTTGACCTCCTGATCTTACGCCATCCTCCCACCTCAGCCCCTCTAAGTAGCTGGGATGACAGGCATGTTCCACCATGTTCAGCTAATTTTTTTAATTTTTTTGTAGATTCGGGGTCTCACTATGTTGTCCAGGCTGGTCTCAAATTCCTGGGCTCAAGTGATCCTCTTGCCTTGGCCTCCCAAAGTGCTAGAACTATATGTATGAACCACTGCACCCAGTCCACCAAATTGTTTAATATGCTTGCCTGTGTCACACGAATTTGAAAGTCTACTGAAAACAGCTTTACATTTGCTTGCATGTTCTGATTTTAAAATAGGTATGTATATGAAATTTGGAGGATGGGGGTAGGACAGAGAGAAAAAGAAGGCAGCCAAACCAATAATGTTATGTTAGTAAACATTTATATGTCAGTGAAATTATTTCATTTCTATGACAAGCATGGTTATACTGGTATAAATAAAGGAAAGGAAAACTTTCATTTCCATTTGGAAGCAACACAGACTTAAGAAGGACTGGCTGGATGGAGGCAAGTATGAAGCAGATAAAAGCTGGTAGGAGATACCTGGTAGATTGAGACTACTACTAGAATACTTCGCCACTATGACATCTTGCTACACTGGTTTCTCTCTGCCCTCACTAACAAGAATACTTATTTTAATAGTCTTGCCAAGAAAGCCCTTCTAGAAGAATACTTTTCATTCATGTTAGAATTTAAAGATTAGATAACATTGGTTGGAACCACAGGATATTATTTCAACACTTGGCTGGGCTTATTTTGATTATTTTTTATTTCAGGCTTACAAAAGTTGTTCATATCAAAGGCACCCACCCACTGATGTGCCAGGTCCAGAATGCACTGTCTTGTCACTCCTGGAAGAATGATGCCATCTAGCGGAGGAGTTGCCAGTTCTTCTTCTGTCAATCAGAAATTGGGATATTTTCAAACTTTTACTACATTAGGTATGCTTTATTATCAATAGCCATTAAAAAAAAATCACAATTTGGTAGTAACAAACACCAAGAAAATGTTACTGTTCTGCATGGTCAAATTTCCCAAATCAGTTCACACTTCAGGTAGACCCTTATTTAAAAAAGAAGGAAGGAAGGAAGGAAGGAAGGAAGGAAGGAAGGAAGGAAGGAAGGAAGGAAGGAAAGAAGGAAGGACGGACGGACGGACGGACTGACGGATGGACGGAAGGAAGGAAGGAAATCTAATCATCTTCAGTTTATCCTTAACCAGTAAAATAATGAGATGGCTTTCCACCAACAAACAGTAAGAGTTATTGCATGGTCTTAAGAGGAACATTCTGAAGTGAAAATTTACCTTAGCAGATGAAAGGTGGTTAGTAACTAGAATAATGTAGATAAGATCTTACTCAGAAAAACTGGTCATTACTAAACCTTCCAAGAATGCTACGGAGGAGGCTATCACCAAGAAGTGTGCGTGCCTACTCAGGCTTGTCTCTGCTTCCACACTGCCCTTGGAGAGTCTAATTTTTTTTTTTTAAAGGTGGAGTTTTGCTCTTGTTACCCAGGCTGGAGTGCAGTGGCGCCATCTCAGCTCAATGCAACCTCTGCCTCCCAGGTTCAAGTGATTCTCCTGCCTCAGCCTCCTGAGTAGATGCGATTACAGGTGTGTGCCACCACGCCCAGCTAATTTTTGTATTTTTAGTAGAGACGGGGTTTCACCGTCTCTACTGGTCTCGAACTCCTGACCTCAGATGATCTGCCCACCTCGGCTTCCCAAAGTGCTGGGATTACAAGCGTGAGCCACCGTGCCCAGCCTGAGAGTCTATCTTTAGTGATTTTTCAAACCTGGTGGAGCACCAGCAACAAGTATGAAGATGCTGCCTTCGCCCTCTGAGATTCAAATGTAATGTGCTCATCAGAGTGAGCTCAAGCATGTATATGGCTAAAAAAGAAGACACTCAAGAAACAAAACTCCAAAGCTGAGCTACTGCTCTACTGTGAGATGACTGCAGACATCCCTAACTACTGTGAGGTCTAGGAGGACAGTTGTCCACAGGCATCATGTGTGATCCATCAGCCGCACAAGCTCTCCTTACAGTACCCTCTGGCACTCAGCATCTCCCTTTCCTCCCCACCTCTGACACCCAGGAGTCTGAATCTAGTGAGTGCTGACACTGAGGCCAGCACCCTCTCCCTCAGTACACGGTGGTTCTGGGCTTGCCTACTCCACTGGGGTTACATCAGACAAGCCCAACAGTCAAGCTCTATCTGGAATACCAAACTCTATCTTCATCCTTCTATCCTCAAAATCGGGCATTGTGCCTAGCCCAGAGTGTATATAATAAATGTTTTTGAGTAAAAAATAAATGAATAAGTTATCTTCGCTAGGATACAGCAGTATGGCTTTTTTGAATTTTGTTTCTGAAAATCATCTGCTGAAAATTGCTTTCTGGAAAGGAGAAAATTTGTTCTTGGCAATGTTCTTAGGGCTACTCTTTGTCGTGTTTAGAAGTGTTGATGATCTCAAAATAAACATGTGTTTTGCAATAGCTAGCCAACTAGATACATAAATGTATGGATCTATTTGTGTGTGTATATGTATGTACGCGCACACACACACACTTCCAGTGCCCCCAAACCGGACCTTTCCTAAAGCTTGCTGAGTTCTGTGACTGCATCAAGTTAAATGAAAACAGCAGCCCCGCATGTGCAAGTGCTGTTTTGTGAAACATATTTAACACCCAGAACTGTAACCACTAGCCTGAGGTCAAGGAACAGAACATCTGCTTCTCTGGTTGCCAGACAGAGATGATGACATGACAACATTTGGGTGAGAAATATTCATTTTCCTCTGCAACCACAAACATACTTACAAGAGCCAGAACTCACTCCAGATTGCCCAACATGAGGAAAACAGAACCTACAAATGCAGCTTGTTTTTGACAAAGAAATCATTTTTAGGAGATGAGGAATTTAGAAGCAATAACAGCAGGATTCATCTGTGACTTCCCAAAGTCAAACACTAATGGAAACCAGGAATGTAGGTCTGCATCAGTGCCCTAAACACCATCAGCACAATTAGCCATTTATTCTACAAATACATATTGAGTGCTGTTTACTGTTTCAAGCTCTTTGAATACAGCAGTGAACAAAATTGACGTATCTCCCTGCTTACTTTCTAATAGACACAGCTAAACATTTATTGTGTTGACAGTGTGTTAGACTACAGAGGGGGAAATAAAGAAGGAAAAGCAATGGAGAATGCTGGGGAGAAATGGGAAAGGTAGTTTATGATTTTGATTAAGAGCTCAAGGAAAGCCGGACTCAGAATGGGATTTGTAAGCAAAGATTTGGAGGATGTCAAAGAGCAAGCGGCACAGACATCTGAGGAAGAGTGCTCCAAGTCGAGTTCACATTCACGCCTGACGTGTCCGAGAGGACTCGTGATATGGTCTGAGCAAAACCGAGACTCATTGCCATGGTTGTTTTCCCAAAGTGACTGTGAACTCAACCACGAGGACTGGGTCTTATTTTTCAGGGTATCTCCAGGGTCCAGGGTATGATACGATGCTTTGTTCAAATGGTGAATAGCAAGTGTATGGGTTAAATTACTCATCAACAGAGTGATGATGTGTGATCTTACCACCATGGGTGCTGTTACTGAAATCAAAACTCCCATGGCTTACAAGCTGAGGGCCACACATAGTGACTGTGCATGGCACTGTGCTTTGAACACACACTATCCACCACCCCATCCACCTTCCTGCACCAGCCATCTCAACCAACAGGAGCAGTGTTTGTGGGCACCCATGAAAAGAAGGCAGGCTGTTACCAAGGAACTCTGCTTATACCTCCTATCGGTAACGTTTGTGAAAATCAATATTGTGCTGATTTTCAACTCATTCTTCATTGTAGTTTCCTACAACCATATGATATAAATCAAAGTTATTTCAGAATTGCATGTCTTTTTTTCAGCCCAAAAGTTTTTCCTAACATTCTATTTACTTCAAATATTTATTCTATTTCCTTTCTCCTTATTCTGAATTTTATTTTTTCTGTTAGATGAACATCCCCAAAGTGAAGGTGTATATTAAAACTAAAGTTATCCCAGGCAACCATAACCTGAATAGTAACTAACACTCTTAAGGTCTTGTATATTTTGCAAGAGGCAGAAGACAAATTCACTCATTTCTATTCTGACCTTTAAAAGACATGGTGGAAATGTTTCATGATTATTGTTTGGATAAAGAACAATTTTCCACCAGGACAGTTTCTGGTGTTTCTGGTTAAATCATGTAGCTCTGATTCAGAGTGTACTTAAATTGTGACATCTCCCATCCATAAAAATAATGATGGTACCACCTCTGAATGATGTAACTGTTTTTGTTTTGAGCTGTGTGGTTTTTTGGTGGAGTTTGGGGTGGGGGTAAGAGTGGGCAGATGGGAAGGAGAGTTGAATCGGCCTATTATCTTCTAAGTGCAGAGGTCAACGCTGGCTACAATCTTCCAAGCGTAGCTTTTGCTATATGTCACACATAGTAACTCAAATTTATAAATCATAAATATTCCAGTATAAATTTTATTTTCAAACAGTGCCAAGTACAAACAGCAGGAATGGAAGGATGAGAATGATCTGTATCTGGTTTTTCATATGCCAAGGATTACCAATGGCCAAGCCCAGGACAAGGCGTACTCATCATACCTTCTGTTTATTCTACCTCTGACTGCAATATAAGACTCATCTTGTTAGTCTCTGCAACTAACACTAAAATTAGTACTTAGCTCTGAATTCAGCCACATCGAAATTACCATTTTCCTCTTTTTATAGCCAAATAACACTAGAGCAAGAAAGGCTACTGTAGCTACTTTCAAATATAAATTGCATTTTTAAAAATTTAATTGAAACCACTGAGACTTCATAAGTATTTGGAAACATCATTTATATTTCTAGTCTCTATAATTGCTACTGTGAAATGAACAACCTAAGAATGTAAACAAGTCCAAAAATATGTTTCTAAATTTGGTATGATTATCAAAATTCTAATAGAAATAAATGCCTGTTTTTCTCCCACCATTGGCCATTTAATTCAATATCATACACATTGCCAACACTTCACTGAACCCCTGTGGTCTCTGCCAACTAATAAAAAAGAACAGCAAAGAAAAGTAATGAGTAGTCAGGATATTAAAGATAATAGAGAAATACCGATTTCTATAGTGGATATATGAAATTGTCTTGAATGAACCAGGATCTAGATACAATCCCAAGATACATGATTTGTCTTTTAAAACGGTGTTCTTTAATCAAATTGGGCTCTAGAGTAAATTTGGAGAGACTGTGATACATTTTCAAAATATGTAGAAAGGGCAACAATTGTTAAAAGAATTACAGCCAGATACTACACAAAATCCTTCCAGTAGAATCAGTACACTGCATTTATTACTATAGCATTTTATATACGGTATATGGTAAATGACCACTGACCTGACCTGAGACCTATCTCTCAATGCAAGGTGTTCAGATAGGAAAATCGCTGGGGAACCGCAGAAGGGATAAGGAAGCAAATCTTCCAATCACGGTAACTTAAATCCCTTAATGTGACATCTCAATATCTCAATAATCAGTACATCTAGAGCAAAAAAACAAAAAAAAAACCGAAAAACGAAAAACCTCTAGAGCTTCTTTAAATCGAAACTCGGCTGGGTGCAGTGGCTTACACCTGTAATCCCAGCACTTTGGGAGGTCAAGGCTGGTGGATCACCTGAGGTCAGTTCAGGAGTTCACGACCAGCCTGGGCAACATGATGAAACCTCGTCTCTACTAAAAAAAAATACAAAAATTAGCTGGGTGTGGTGGCAGGCGCCTGTAATCCCAGCTACTTAGGAGGCTGAGGCAGCAGAACTGCTTGAACCAGAGAGGTGGAGGTTGCAGTGAGCTGAGATCACGCCATTACACTCCAGCCTGGGTGACACAGTGATACTCCACTTCTTAAAAAAAAAACCAAAACAAACAAACAAAAAACCTCATGTCTGTTTGTGCAGCAAAAGCACAGTAGTCCTTACTTAGCCTGGGACTGTGCTACTTACTCCCTTGCACTAAATTTCTAGCTCTTGTCTTTCTAGTCTGTTGAAAATGACTGAGAAATGTGCAGAGTGAAATCTGAGTGGATTACCTCCATCTTCATTTATCCAGTAAAGAAAAAGATTCATAGTTCCCACTTCAGTGATCTGATGGTCCTTTCCATAGAGCCACAGGACCTGCTGACACCCATTATCCACTGCTTCGCACTGGGCAAAAAGAGATGATCCGTAATTCCTTCGAGAAAGAGAAAACATGCAGGTTACAAACGTATTTCATCCCCACTCCCTTATCTTCTACACTCTGATAGCCTCGAGTTCTTAATTCACATGTGGACGTAGTGAAGGTATTATGTTCTTAATATATATACACTTTCTAGTCAGTTGCATAACCTTAAAGGAAAACGCTTTAGAGAATCTAGGTGATTTAACTGCATTCATCAGAGAGAGAACAATGTGAAACCTTGAAATCTTAACTGAAGAAGTAATAATAGAAGAACACAGGTAAATAGCCAAGTGAATGAGAACAGTTAAAAGTTACTGAGTATGTTTCCACACACCAAGCAATTTTACATGAATTACTTCAATCTCACATCAATACTACGAAGTAGACACTATCATTATTTCCATTGTTCAGATGAGAAACTGAGGTTTCGAGAAGTAACTTCTGTCAAGTTTCTGCAGAAGAGCACCAAGTGTGCACACTTTTATCTAAGACCTTCTGATGTATCCAAGGAACACATAATGCCCAATTCCCCTAAAAGATAGGACAAATATTAAATGTTAAAGATAGGACACATGTTAAAAGTCTTGATGTTGAAAAAAAGTATTTCAAAAGCTTATTTTTCTCAGCCTGCACCATTCATCCCAGATTATTTAAAATGAAAGGAACAAAGTACATTTTTCTGGAATGACAATTTAGTGTTATAATACTTTAAAAGTATATCTTTTATCTAAACTTATATGGGAAAATTATGGAGTATCTTATAAAATAGGGATGAATATTTTAGACAAAACATGAGAGTCCTCAAATAAATGTGATAGCTGCTTGCCTCCATACACTCCTGGCTGTATAACTAAGTATAAGAAGTACTGCCATAAGACAGTCAGGGGTCAGGAATAAATTCTAGACCCCCCATTGCACTATGAAATCCCCAGAAATACACAGAAACAAACAATGAAAACAACTAAAACGACTACAAATGTAGTAATGTAAAACTCCTACATTACATTAATGTAATCTACCACAAAATACCTGTTTAGGTCTCTTAGAGTATCTCTTTTACATCTGGGTAAAATTACAATTTGTGTTGTTGTCTAAATAAAAGTTGAGCGTGAGGCCAGGCGCAGTGGCTCACGTCTATAATCCCAGCACTTTGGGAGCCCGAGATGGACGGATCACTTGAGGTCAGGAGTTTGAGACCAGCCCGGCCAACATTGTGAAACCCTGTCTCTACTGCAAATGCAACAACTAGCTGGGCGTGGTGGCGGACGCCTATAATCTCAGCTACTAGGGAGGCTGAGGCAGGAGAATCATTTGAACTTGGGTGGGGGGCGGCAAATGTTGCAGTGAGCCGAGATTGCACTCTGCACTCCAGTCTGGGTGACAGAGTGAGACTCGGTCTCAAAAATAATAATAATAACAACAATTAAATATTAGAGCCACATGTGAATGTTTATCTACTGTTTTCATCTGCACAGCCTCCCTTCCCACTATATTCCATACTCTTATAAAAACATGGTCTTTCTATAGAGCTATGTCATTATGCTTAGATTGATAATATAGCATCTTTCCCTACCGCAGGTGATGATAATACAGGATCTTGCTCTGCCGCAGCTCAATTACAGGGTGGGCATTTAACCTGAGAGAGTTACATGATTCCTCCTTTGGGTACATTCACTCATTTTAATGTCTATAACCTGAAATACAGGCATTTTCTCCTTTCTGGTGTTGCTTACTTGGTATGATGTAAACCTGGGGTCGGCTGTGTCCATGATCACATTTCACAGAAGAAAGCATCTGAAGCAGAGCCCTAGGCCAACATGGAGCCAGAAGCTCTGACCAGAGATAGAGGACAGAGATAGAGGAAGAAGGGAAGAAAAAGGGAGATGTGCAAAGGACACAAGAAACTTGGAAATAATTTCTTTAACCCCTAGCAAGTCCACTGCCAGCATCCTAGTTTCATAAGTCAATAGATCCCTTGTCTGCTTAAGATCATTTTGAGGCCGGGTGCAGTGGCTCACGCCTGTAATTGAGGTAGGCAGTTCGAGACCAGCCTGACCAACATGAAGAAATTCCATCTCTACTAAAAATACAAAAAAATTAGCCAGGCGTGGTGGCGCATGCCTGTAATCCCACCTACTCTAGAGGCTGAGGCAGGAGAGTCTCTTGAACTCAGGAGGTAGAGGCTGCAGTGAGCCGAGATCAGGCCATTGCACTCCAGCCTAGGCAACAAGAGCGAAACTAGTCTCAAAAAAAAAAAAAAAAAAAAAAATCAA